TTGATGCGCTAAAATAATTTTTTTAATACCAGAGAGACTCAAATCTAAATTAATGCTACTAAGTATGAATTGGCCATACGCGATAGAAAAGTTTCCTATAATATCAACCAATCCAATTATCCAACTATCATTCTTTTATTAAATAACACTTACACATGTACTTATAATTTTAAATATTTATCTTGAGCATCAACATACTGTCAGGCAAAGGTCACGATGATAGGCACTTGGCATTATTAATCCATGAAAACATCTGTTTGTCGCGCACTATGTCTGCATTTCCATCATCAGTTGATTACATGCAATATCGCACCTCTACCAACGTTGAAATTCTCGCTCACAAAAGTTGCATCCGTAGCTTTTAAAAGTGCATAATGAATTCCCTAGATCTTTCGACACCGTCATATCTCCAAATGATGCCCGAAACGCCCACGCTGCTTTATTCACACAACTTATTAGTTTCTGTGTATAAAGTAGTTAGAGGTAGTGGATACGGACGAGGACAGTTTCTTAGCAGTCCATGATTAAGTATTAGGCCAGGTAACCCCATTATAGGTGGCCCAAACAAGAAAATTCTAACATGCATCCTCACAGGTTGGACGGGACTCTCTTGATGTTTTCTTGTAGAATAAGAAGTTCGATTCAAAAAAATTAAGTTTTATGATAGATGACTTTACTTATATAGTCTATTTTTTTATATCTGTCAAATAATTTAAGCTTCAAGATTTTACTGCCTGTTAGATTTTTTTTAGGCTATAAGACCATATAAAATTAGATGTTAATATTGAATTCTTAAGCTTTATAATGAATTACTATTTCTTAATTTTATATATTATTTATTTATTATTTAATGTGAGATATGTTTTTAACGGAATTTAATTTTCTGCATATCACGGAATGAACCTTAGCTTAAATTTTAGAAAGGAGAACATGTCATCTTCAGGTTGCAGGAAGTGAATGTGCGAGATATACAGAAATACTTTTTTTTTCTTTGTTAACCACAGGAACTATCCCAAATTTCCTTATACTTTGCATAACTAGTTAGCTAAAATGATAATCTTTATACGAAAAAAAAAAAAAAAGCATTCAGTGCGTGTAGCCTGATTGTGTTTTGTATATTGTTCTTTATCAGGGACAAATGCAGACAAATAATCATCTTCGAATCCCACGGAAGGCAGTAATAATGCAGACTTCCTGAAATCATTATTACTCTGCCTAGTTTATTTATTGGCTTTTTTGTTTTCTTATACTCATCCACTTTCTGTTCTTGCCCCATATAACGTAATGAATGGATGAAATGTGTGCTTTCAGATCAAAATTTAATACAAGATTCCTTCAAATCATGAAAACTGCATAAAAATTTTGTATCTTTTTTTAATGTTATTCTAGAAGCATTGCCATTTCTCTGACAGATCCTTTTGAACTAACTAATATATATTATGTTGTTGTTATTTTCAAGCAATGAATGAGTATGAACCTTGAGACGGGCAGACCAAGAGGGCATCTGTAGTATCGACCAAGGTTAAGTGTTTTAACAACGTCATGAAAGAAGACTTTAGGCTAATTAGATGCTTATTGTTGGAATATGGTAGTAGAGATCAGAAGACAGAAACAAGAGATCATATCAATATAGCCAATTAGTAGATAAATCCATGTCAATATGCTAAATGGTCAAACCATAAATGTTAACTAAAATATATAAAAGTTGATGTCATCCATCAGACAAAACATGAGTGGTCAAACTATACAAACTCTTCTAGCCGTATAGGATTTCACATCTGAATCACACAACAAGAAGAGCTGTCTCTGTTTCCAACCATTTTGTTTCCTTCTCCTTGTTCTTTCTTTTCAATTGTCGATCTTCTGTTCATCTAAGCAAAGTTAGTTAATTACCTACTCTCTTTTTTCTTAGAAATTTAATCTATATATCATGTTTATAATTTGCCCTCACCGATCTTTCCTTAGAGTTCAGTAAACTCTTTTTTTTTTTTTTTTGGATTTCTAATATATCTCAATCCTAAAGATCGAGTTAATTCATCACTGTTCGATTAGACATACAAGATAGACAAATCTATCCAAAAGGTTTCTACATACATAAGGAATCAAATTCAATACAATTTGTTTAAACGATTAGAGCTCTTTCTACTCAAATCAATCATCTTGAATAGAGTCAATTATCATTTTAATCTCTATGTTTTTAACGAAATAATTAGTTAATACCTTTAATTTAAAGAATCCAATATCCAATCCATGTGTGTGTGTATATGTTTGTGATTTAATCCTTCCATTAGTTTGCTATAATTTGGCTAAACTCGTTACTTGCATCATGTATTTTCATCATTTCATTAAAAGAATCCCTCTATTATTGATTAATTCAAATAAGCCCTTGTATTTTTTTATTTCAATCAATTAAATATAATTTGCAAAAATTGAAAATTTATCTCAACCAATTAATTAAGTATTTTTTTTTCACTACTTGAGTCATTATTGTAAACTTTTTTTTATTTCTTTTAATATTATCATTCATCCTCACTATCCCCATTCTCTTCATTGAGTGTTATCATTTTTTATTTGGTAAATTATACTTAACTGGCTGAAATTAAAAGTACATGTGTTTTTTTTTACAAATTAGCTAAAACATTAGGTGCAAGTAATGAGTTTTGCCATTAAAAACGAAAGTAAAAGTGGAAATTGTGACATTTTCCAAAAAATTAATATCAACGTCTAGTAAAATATAAAAGACTAACTTATGATTTTTAAAACTAAATTAAGGAATTAACTCACAATATAATTTTTTTTAAAAAAAAAACTCTTATAAAGAGAGGATTAATGGTTGGAATAGTCTTGAATTATGCTTCAAATTAAGTCTCTTCAAGTTAGATCTTTAAATCGTTTTAAATTATTCAAGAATTTCACTTTCAAATGTATCATTGTAAATGATATACCTAAAACCTAGAAGGGTATCCTAACTAGTGAAATTAAAAACTTCATATTTTTAAGGTGCAAAGTGTCATCAAATAAATTAAATTACCTTCTTTAATGTAATATATATATATATATATATATATATATATATATATATATATATATATATATATATATATGCCTTTTATTTTTATATTTTGATGCCAAAAAAAAAAAAAAAACTAGTAATAATAATGCAATTATTTGAGAGATCCACTTTAGACTAACGTGTCCCACCATTTCCAAATAAATTTAATAAGAAAATCCCTCTTACTCGGTTTATACCAAAGAGATTTTCTCTTTTAATTTTTTAAATAGTTGTAAAAAAAAATTATTAATTATTCTGTCATATCAGTATGTTTTGTTTATGTTTTTTTTTTTTTTTAAATTGTTAGTTATCAAATTTAATCTTGTATTATATAGAACCAATATTAAGTTAAAGAGAAATCTATCTAAAATAAAGGTGGTAAATCAAATAAAAAATCATATAGTTAATTTTATCAATCAAGTTCAAAATAATTATGGAAAATAACATATTGATATAAATATTTTACTTCCAAAATTTTACCATATAGTAAAGTCCTTGTAAGAATGAATATTTTTTATGTAATAAAAAAAATTCTTTAAAATTTTATGTTAAAAGTATTTACATATATAAGAAAAAAAGTATAAAGGATATTGATTTTTTATTAGTAAAGAATAAGAAAGGAAAGAAAGAATTGATTTTCTTTATAAACTAAGTGTATTTTAGGAAACTCTCCTTGTTCTAAAGAGATTGTCCCTTTTAACTTTTTACATATTGCATAATTTTAAAAAATTATTAATTATTATGTCATATCAGTATTTTTTGTTTATATTTAAAAAAAGCTGTTAAAATTGCCGATTATCAAATTTAATCTTGTATTACATAGAATTAATATTAATTTTAAAAGAAAATCTATCTAAAATCAAGGTGGTAAATCAAATAAATATTGTTAAATTAATTATCAATGAAGTTCAAAATTATTATGAAAAAAATAATATATTGATAAAAATATTTTATTCTTAAAATTTTGGCTTGTAGTAAAATCTCTATAAGAATGAATATTTTTCATATTTTTCATGCATGTAACAAAAAAATTTCCTTTGAAATTTTTATATTAAAGATATTTGTATATATAGGAGAAAAGTATAAATAATATTGATATTTTGTTAGTGAAGAAAAAAGAAGAAGAAAGAATTGATTTTCTTTATCAATTAAGTGTACTTTAGGAAAGTACTCCTTCTATTCCAAAAAGATTGATCCTTTTAATTTTTTTCACACAGCTTTAAAAAAATATTAATTATTATTTTATATCGGCATTTCTTTTTTATACTTTCGTAAAATATTATTTTTTAAATTATTAGTTATCAAATTTAATTTTGCATTACATAGCACTAATATTAATTCATGAAGAAAATTTATTTAAATTCAAGGTGGTAAATAAAATAAAATAAAAATCATTAAGTTAATTATTAATCAAGTTTAAAATAATTATAGAAAAATAGCATACTAATAGATATATTTTATTCTCAAAATTTTGACATGCAGTAAAGTCCTTGTAAGAATAAATATTTTTTATGTAACAAAAATATTCTTTAAATTTTTATGTTATATATATATATATATATATGAAAAAGTATAAATATTATATATTTTTTGATAGTGAAAACATAAAAGAAAAGAAAGAATTGATTTTATTTATCAATTAAGGATACTTTAAGAAAGTTACATTATTTACAATTTTGACTAACTAAGTATTTTAAGACTAATATAAATAATAATTAAAAAAAAAAAAAAAAGACAATTCAGACTGGAAGAGTAATTATTTGAGAGATCCAAGTTAGACTAACGTGTCCCACCATTTCCACATAAATTTGAACAAGAAAATCCCTCATATAAATCACAGTCGCATGGCTTTGGCACCACTGAACTTGAAACCAACACGCCACCCATACAAGGAAACCAAGAAAGAAAAGGTGAGAATTTTTCAGAGCTAAGTAAATCGTTCATGGCAATGGCTTCCACTTCTCTCCACCCTCTTCACCAATCTCTTTCTCCAAAATACCCTCATCTTTCTCACAATTCACGATTCACTCCCTCTCGTCTCCGCTTCACCTCCCTTCGGTTTCCCTCTACAATTCGCGCCGCTTCAGCTGTTGCTCTTGAACCGGTAAAACCATCATCTCTATTTTCTCTCTTTTCACTTTTATTTATTGCTTGCTTTCTTTTACATTTATACATTTCATTGCTTTCTGTATATGTTTTACTTGTGCTACTGCAGGGTTTTTGCTTGTTTTCTTGAGTTGGAGTGCTGTGTTATGTTTTTTGAACACTTTGAATTGTGATAGTGAAGTACTTTTGAAAGGGCTGTTCTTGAAAATTGAATGGAACATGGAGATATTTTAAAATTTGTAACTTAATGTGATTTTTTCCCCCCTCTTATTCTGGATTTTTATTTATTCATTGATTGAGGCTGTGAAAGTGTCGTATGAGGAATGAATTCATTTAGTTATGGAATTTCCGAGGAAAGTAGGATGCTTGTTTGGCTATTGAGAAAATTTAGAACTTTGATGTCAAAAATTTCTTGTATTTGATGATTTTTTATATCATATACAATATTGAGTTCTTGAATTGAGTGGCCATACTATGATACCAAAAATTTTGACTTCACTCCTCATGCTTTCGCTAAAATGCAGGGTGGCTTTTTTTTTTTTTTTTCTCTTTCTGTGTTTTAAAGTGGGCTAGACAAAGTAGGAGAATTGATTAGTTATTTTGTTTGGAGTGGAAATTTGCAAGGTAATAGTGATGCTTGCCTGTTTTCAAAGAAAGGGACTTAAACTGGTGGCTTTTACGTCCAATTTTCAGCATGCGTTCATTTGGTTATTGAAAGTCTCAGGATTAATCATTTCAGGTGGTTGAGCAATGGCAAGAAACTAACTTGCATAAAGCTGCTGTTTTTAAGTTCTGCGTTTTAAGCAGAGTTGTTTGTAGGCAACAATTCACAGACTTTGATGTTTACTTAAGATTTTGCTCCTCCTTCCTAATGCTATACTAATATGGTGCCTTATTTTGTTTTAAATGGGAATTGACAAGAATTTCTTCTTTCAGGAAGTAAGCACACAGCAGAGTCAAACTCTAGAGGTCGACCCATTTGCTTGTCCAATATGTTATGAACCTCTAATAAGAAAAGGTCGTCCAGGTTTTAACTTGTAAGTCGGGTCACATGATGGTATACAAACCTTGTCTTGTTTATGTTTAGCACAGTCTGATCTTATGATACCTACAAAACCTGCAGGCCTGCAATATATCGGTCTGGTTTCAAGTGTAATAAATGCACCAAAACATACTCAAGCAAAGACAACTATCTGGATCTTACAATTACTGCCGGAATGAAGGATTACACTGAAATCCAACCAGCGAGGACCGAGCTGTTCCGGTATGCATTTGGTGATGATGATGTCATAATATCATGCTTAGCATATTTATGCATCCATGCTATACATGAGCAATTAAAATTCGTGCATTCCTGCGCATGCATACATAACCTCACTGGCCCTTCGAGCTTGAATTAATATCTATCCCATGCCTATAGTAGCATTTTATGGATCTCAGTTACTGTTAATTAGATGAGGTACCCAATTCTGGTTTTGTCTTAAGAAGGAATAAAGAATAATGGTATGCTTTTTGAAAATTGAAATGGCATTTTATAAAAGAACTAAATTGTTTGAGGAAGTAATCATGCTCATGTCAGTTACTTTCATCTTCTCAGGAGTCCACTTGTTTCGTTCTTGTATGAACGAGGCTGGCGCCAAAGTTTTAATCAAAGTGGCTTTCCTGGTCCTGACGAAGAGGTTTGCATTCCTTGGGTTGTTTCTGGGAATTCAAATAACCAGCTTAGGCTTGAAACATCAATTAATCTTATTTCAAAAGCTGAGTTTGAGAAAATATTATTTCTGGTTTTATGAATTCTCTCTATGAAACTTGGTAACATGGTACACTGAAATATCCCATGAAATGGCATCAGTGCCTGGAAGTTAAAAACATCATTCTCATTCTTCTCCACTGTGGAAATTGCTACTGAATTTGTAAACATGTATTTGACTTTGTGATGGTTTCTTGTTGATGCAGTTCGAAATGGCTCAGGAGTACTTCAAACCTGCCGAAGGGGGTCTTCTAGTAGATGTGAGCTGTGGTAGTGGCTTGTTTTCCAGAAAATTTGCCAAGTCTGGAGCATATTCGAAAGTTATTGCACTTGATTTCTCCGAAAACATGCTTCGCCAGTGCTATGATTACATCAAGCAAGATGATACTATTTCATCAACGTAAGCTTATATTGCCTGACTTGAGTCTCAAAGTTACAGTAGCTGTTATGTGAGAGCACTGATAATTTCATAACTATAGTTCTATTTGAAATGAGAATTGACGATTTCTTTTGTTGGAGAATGTGCAGAAATCTTGCTCTTGTCAGAGCAGATATTTCAAGACTTCCATTTGCATCAGGTTCAGTTGATGCTGTTCATGCCGGTGCTGCCATACATTGCTGGCCATCTCCTTCCAATGCTGTAAGTGATTTTTTTCCCTTTCATTTCTTTTGTGGATTTGGTGGAATAGGCTCCTAGATATTCCAGGCCAATCTTGTTTGGAAGATCCAAATTCCCTTTGAATTCGGAAATGGCAATGCAAGCTTTCTCCTACTTTATCTCTATCATCATTTGTGACTCTGATGTCCTTGTGCTGATGCTGGCTTGATCTTGGCACTCATGCTACTCTATTTAGGGTCATCTCTTATGCACTGACCATTGACGTGTGAGACACTATGTTATTATATACTGTTAGTTAAAGAAAATTCTAACCCCATTGCGATGCGGGATTTGCCGAGTGGGAGGCTGCTACAATGCTTAAAATGGTCCCTTCATAAGTTACAAGCTTGAATACAATGAGATCAATTCCTGTCATGTCTAACCATTGACATTTTTTTTCCTATCTTTGGAATGAATTTTTATCAGGGTCCAGGGAATCAGTACTTTAATATGCTTCATTGACCAGTAGCAGGAGTATGCAATACAGGGGAGAAAATTCTTGAAAAGGGTTGCAAGTCATAACCTGCCAAAACTGGGTGAAAAGAGACATGGAACGCTGAGTAGATTGATTCTGCAGGGCATGAGTTGAAAAAGATAAGATTGTAGTCGTGGTTTTTGTCTTGCAAAGGGATGAAAGAAATGACACTTTGATCTCGATTACAGAAACTTTCTCAAACAATTACAGCTTCCACCAAATATTAAATGACCCTTCATAAGCAACAGCACATAGATTCCAAACGGAAAACATTACAGAACTTGCAGAATACGTTAGTTATCAGCTTCTTTTGTATTAAAATCTGCTAGATATCTGTCAGACAGCAGTAGTCAGCTGCCAGTCTTCATACATAAGGTATTCACAGTTGCATGTTTTTTATCATTTTTCTCATATCTGCGATATGACAAAGTCAAACTACCTTAGGTGCCCATTATGTGGTTCTGCACTTTGTTCTGCTGGAACTGGTAACAATGTTTTACCATTGGCAAGGCAATGCCTATAGCATGTAGGTGCAGAAGCACAAGACCTCAGATGATAGGCAAAACATTTGCATTGCTTTGATCGAATCCAATAATCATCTTGGTTGACTGGCTAAGTTTTGGGAATTATTGTAGAGGTGGTTTCTTATATGATCAGCAAGTACATTCCATTGTGTCTTGTCCCCAGAAGCACACATTATAAATCTCTTCCCAAGTTCTATGTGTGTTTTTACTGCATTTTCGTCATTTGGATGTATGAAGAATTATTTTATGAACCGGTTGTTCAACTAGTGACATTATCTACTAATGTCAGGTCGCTGAAATTTCTCGTGTACTGCGAAGTGGTGGAGTTTTTGTTGGAACCACTTTTCTTCGATATAGTTCAACAACTTCCTGGATAGAACGACCTTTCCGTGAGGTAATAAGTGTTCTTTTTTTTTTTTTTTAATTGTAAGAATAGATGTGATAATAGCTGGTAGGATTAATTACTATGCCTAAGGATACTTCCTTTTGGCTTGACTTTATGTGCTTGTCTGTCTGCATCTTTAAATGTTGGCTATTCTGAATTACTCTCGCACAAGCTGGCAATGGTGAAACTGTCCAAATTAAAATTAGGTTGTGAATCCAGCAAAGGAAGTACCAAAGCAGTGAAGTTCTTTGAATTTATCATGAAGTTATATTAGCTGAATTTTTAAACTAGGATGGTTCAGGTCTGCTAGTTTTTAAGCTTAACGTTGTGCTATTCTTGGAATGCTTTCTGCTTTGAGTTGGACGTGTAAACTAATAGGTGATGTATGTTAGCTCAACATACAATGGAGAAAATTGCACATCCCCATTCATTCCCCCTTGGAAATTTGGTTTCTAATCTGAGTTTGGAACTCCATCCAAACTGGTTGCACAGCCAAAGAATTGTGGGATAATTCAATCTGCACTGACCATTGTTATATGCTATAATTGAATCTAAAGGTCTTCATGTGTCTGGCAGAGGGTTAGGTGGAACTATAACTACTTTATAGAGGAGGAACTTGAAGACTTGTGCTCAACCTGTGGTCTCACAAACTACTCAAAGAAAGTTCAGCAATCCTTCATAATGTTCTCTGCGCAGAAGCCATGAGACAAGGTTTAGTTCATTCAAACACCATTCTCCCTAGACCTGGCTTTTGACATATCCGGTGTTGATTTGGTACACAACATATTTCAGTTGTATAGACATTTTGAATAAACAAGACCTGAAAAGGTGATAACCTGGGGAGATGTAAAGTGCCATTGTTAAGAAAAAAAGTGCCATATTTTACTGTCTGATTTATATATAGAAAAATAATTAAGCCACTACTTTGAACTTCAGCAGGGTCACCAATCACAGAGAATAGAGGAGACTAGCCTTTCTATTGGTAGCTTTTGTTGGAAGTGATCTGAAAGCAATGCTAATGAGATAGTTGGAGTTGACAGTCATTGTAATGATTTCCACAAACATATACCTAATTAATGAGTGGATGGTTGGGCAAACTATGGATCAATCAGACCTTAACATGCAGATCAAACCCACTTTTTGCCTCCTTTGGTTCATGATATTGGCTTTAGCTTTGTGTTCTCATCTCAAGCATGGGCATATCCATTCTCCACTATATGTGAACTGTCTATCTTTTAATAGCGAAATATACAGATTCCTGCCATTGTAGGATAGGACCTTAATGGAATCCTAGCTTAGGATCATGAATTATCTAGTGAAAGGTGTGGTGGAATCAATCTGCAATACAATTCTTGTGACTGATCAAATGCACTCATGGTTTTGGACTGATATTTGTGCTCATAATCTAGTCATGAACTCACATGATGGGGGGTTATTAAATGATAAGTTAAGGTCTAGTGGAAAGGGTTGCACATGACCTAGCCTTAAAAATTAGGGCAAAAGTGAATAAAATAGTCCACGAGGAAGTGGTTCGACCAATAAAGAAACCCTTTTTAGCAGGGCAAAGTTGGTCTGTGAAGTCTCAAATATGGCCAGAGAGAACCCCCTCGTGCGGCTCACAAGCTGACCAACTTTCTGTTTGTTCTTCTACTATACTCTTTGCCCTAAAGGAACCCATCATGTAATCTCTGTTCACTTCTGGATCTTTGACCTTTGACCAGCCAACAAAATGCACAGCTAGACAAGAAAAATAAAGAGGAATATTTGGTCAGTCCAAGAACAAGTACCTATTAGGGTTTAATTTGGTTTATTTTCATAGTCTGGCTCAGGCCATTGGATCCCTTGCACGTGACCTTCTTTCCTACTGTATTCCCATTTTGCTTTACATGGCACGTGGGGGTCGGTAACTCTTTAGCATTTTATTCTTTATTTTTATTTTTTTTCCTTCAAATTCTTTTTTTTTTTTTTAGAATAATGTTAATTCAATGGAAAATCTTTTCCTTTCACTTTCTAAAATATAAAAACTTATTAGATTTAAGAAAATCATAGTTGGAATTGACTCATTTTAATGGATGAGATTATTTTTTTCCGAAATAATTTTGAGAAGAATTAACTTTTTGGAAAATTAGCATTATATTTAATTCTTTTGGTCGAACAAATGGAGGCCGACTATGCTGGTTGATTTGATTATTATGGATCACGTGCAAAGCATTACTGCTAACTTTTTATTAGTCGACTTAAATGATTGAGAGCTTCTTGTTAATTTGCGGAAAGTTCAACTCTTAATTATGACTTTAGGAAAGCATGAAGATCAATGGGATTGCTTTCCTTTTTTTTTTTTTTTTTATTTGTTTCTTGAATTGAAATCCTATATAATCCTAACTCTTAAGTAATATGAAAAGAGAAAAGGTGGTGCTAATAATGGCAATAGGTTTTATTCTATTGAATTGTGTGTATTTTTTTGTCATCGTTAAAAAATCATATAAAAATATTCTTAAGTATTCATATAATAAATTTTTAACATAACATCACAACTTATTGATGAAAAGTTTCAATCCTATCATCCCATTCTTTCTTCTATTAAGGGTATATTCAAGTTTTAATTTTAAAAAAACATTATATTTGAAAAAATATATTAAAAAATAATATAAAATTATTTTTTAAGCCGCATCAAATAATTTAAGCTAATTAGTTATTTGATGGTTATTTGATATGATTGGTTTTTTGACGATCATTTGATATGAGAGATAATAGATAATATCGTTTGGAGAATTCAAGAAACTCTTTTAAAAAATTATCATTATTCATTCTTAAAATTGTAATGTTAATTTTAGTAATTATTATTTGAAAATGATATTGAATAAATGAATCCCATAAACTTAATGACTTTCTATGCTGAAACTAAGTTCGCTTGTCCGAATTCAAACGAAATCTGCCAATTGTATTCCAAAAATTGTGTGAGTGACGATTTAATATAATAATAAATATATAATATTATTTAATTAGTTGGGTCGGGACGGGTAAGGGTTGGGGTACGAAAAAAATCCACCCGTATCTCGTCTTTCATGGAATTGGATAAAATCGGATTTTTTCAAACAAGTCTATCCAAGCATCGACCATCCTTAATTTCACAACATCCAATCAATTGGACTTTCTAGTTGATTCTTGTTGCTAATTGAAATATTTTTTACAACCTTATGACTTTTTCTTTTTTTTGTTAAATTATATATGTATTTAATTAGTTATGTTTTATAAGTATATACAGTGATTATTCTTTAAGTATATATTATAAAATTTATCATGTTTTATAACTCAGCAAATCTGAATTGCAAAGCCAAGTTGCAAAGAATATCTGCCAAATAGAACTTGACAAAGTTTTAAGTAGAAAATCAAATACGTAATTCAAAAATTAAAATGGATTTAAACAATTTGTATCCTTTGTACTTGCAATCTTACATGAAGTCAAGCAATAATTGGGAAAAATGTTTTCTTGTAAAAGGTCAGGTGTGAAAGTATTAGCCAACTAGTTGGGGGTCAATATTTCCACCCCATTTATGCAGTCAAGAATATTGGATACTTTTTATTTTTGCAATCATCTCATACAGATTTTCTTTGGACTAGAGCATGAAAAAAGAGCAGATATTCCCAACTAAAGCACATGGCAAGCTTTGAATAGCATGAATTTCACTAGGACAGACTTTACATAAAAGGAAACAGAAACTCATTGATGTTTTTATGCATGGAAACTATCATTAGCCAATAAGTCAATTTATCTACCAGCTTGATTCCTTCTAATAATGTTCAGATTCGACTTTGTGTAAGGCAAAAAAAAGAGTCTAAACAGGTTGGTTCAGGATACTTTACATAGATAATCACCTCTAAAATTGTTGTAGTTTAAAACACAAATAAATGGCATTAAGTACTATTCGTAAAAATTAGTCGTACGAATCTGATAATGATAGTTGTAATTCAGAGAAAATCACTCATTAATGTACTTTACAACAAATGTCAAGTAATTTATTATTGACTTTTAATTTCATATATATACTCTAGTATGTAGTTGTAGTTAATTGGTATATTTACGTTCTTTTTTTACGTATAATTATTTTCGAATAGATATTAAGTTTCAATTCCGATATAAATATGGTAAAAAATTTTCAAATAAAATGTTAATATGATACGACTATAATGTTCCATACTGAATAGTGTGAAGTATATCTTTAAACCCAAAAAGAAAAGAAAAAACAGAAAGAGAGATATATGGCCGATTAATTGTCAAATTAGTTATGAGTACTTGTCTAATGTCAACTCAAGCCTAGGCATCCTTCTCCTGTTTTTGAGTAAATATGTTTTACGAAAAGAAGAGCCATTGTACTGTAATATGGCATGCTATGATGATTGATAACCGAAAGATTCATGATCTAGCTAGCTAGGTTATGAACTAAGAAGGGCATAAAGGGAATGATACAAAGAATGGCAAAACCCAAGATTAGGTCTTGGATAGAGCTTAAAGACAAGAAAAGTTCCCTCAAAATTAGTAAAAGGGAAAATTAATATGCCTAATAAATCTTACAAACAAGTGGCTAATGAGTTGTGTTTGTCTGTCTAATGTTCGTTGCAACACCACATACATTATTGTTCAAACCACAGCTTCTGGCTCATTAGTGGAGTGGTTGGTTGATTGATGTTGCCATGTTTGATTCCCAAAAAACCGGGTTTCCTCGTACATGTCTGGTTCCTTGCTTTACATTATAAGTTCAAAGTCAAATTGATTTTGCATGTTAAATTGGTAAATACGGACCAAATTCAAGGAAGTAAGAATTTCCTTGGCAAATTCTTTTTCTCTGCCAACTACATGTTTTTTTTCTTTTTTTAATTTGACATTAAAGGGTGTTTTTTTTAGTATCAATTGAGATTAAATTTCGTTTTCAACTAATTTTAAAAGTGTTTTTTTTTCACATCAATCTAATATACTACTATAAATTTAATATATGATCTATCTTCTAGAATTGGAGCCACTTGCACAGTCCACTAGTACCTGTATATAATTAATTGAGAAGCCAACGACTAGTCAAGCACTCGTGTGAGCTTTGTGTATCCGGAAAGATAGAATATGGACATGCCACAATTTATAAGCCCTAATCATAATAAAGATTTGATTAATTTGTTACATGATTTCTTAAAATTTAAATTATGCTGTTGATATTGCTGGGAAGAAATATTCAAGTCAAAAAGAAGTTCTACAGAAAAGTTGACATTTTATAGGGAATCCCACTTTAAGTTGTGTAAATTCTTAAGCTAATTAACTTTTTGCCGACCAAATTAGGTTTTGATGGATGAAAAATTCTATATTACTACAGGAGGAACTATTGTAAATATACAATAGTTATTATATATGTTTATTTTTTAAAAGAGATAAATAAGAAAAGAAAGAGAAAAAAAAATTGATATAGAAGGAATTAAGTAGCTTGATTCTAGCCGTATTTAAAAACAACCTTTGGGCTGATAAATGAATATATAGTCCATTGTCATAAATTATCCTTTTTTTTTATCATAATGCATCTCAAATTCAAAAATCTAATTTAATTACTTATTGTTTTGTCAAACATATAAAACACAGATCAAACTATTTAAAAAGTTTTTTATATATATAAATATTTAAATTTAAGATTACTTGCTTAAACGATTAGAATTTATTTCGTTTAAATCAATATTTGTTTATTAAATTATCCTTATATAAGCACACGACTAATACTAATAATATTCCTCCTTGACAATAATTTTCTGAAAAATATCTGAATTTTATTCAATATTTTTGAAAGTTTTCAAAAAAAATATATAGTCAACAATATTTTGATAAGATTAATAGCGTTATTCTAATCACTTGCCAAACAATTATCTATGATTTCTAGCTATCAACAACTCATAAATGACCATCAGTGAACAAAGTCGCCCATATATTTATAACCTACCACAGTAGCAAGCATATAGATGAAAAATAATTCTGCATCTCTCTCATGTCCAAGTCCAAATTCAAGTATGTAGCTCAACTAAAAGATTTTGATAATTGAAGAAAGAAAGAAATGGGCCAAAAAATATAAATGTTAGTGCAGCTGCTCCAAGAAGAGTTTAGTTAGTTTAGCATTAGAGCTCTTAAGCCAAGAAGATGAGAAAAAATAGTTTAAAGGGGTGGTAGAGAATGGGAGACACAGAAACAGCTCCCACGTTCTTCTCGTATCTTACTTCTTTTTCTTTAATTAATAATGCTCTCTCTCTCTCTCTCTCTCTCTCTCACACACACACACACAGGTACAAGCCCTCTTATTGACAAAATGGTGTCTATTTCTCCAAGGAATAAATATATACCCTTTCATCTCTTGTGAACCTCCATAAATACTCCTTATCTCCATACCCTAATCTCTCTCTCCTCTCTTGTTACACCACTATCTTGATATCAGCTCAAGAGGGCTATCTTCTCTTTGTTGGTTTTTGTGATCATGGTGTGTGCCACTCTCTCTCTTGATCTCTTGATCTCTATCTATAGTAAAATTCTGTTTGAATTTTGATTCATGTATTGAAATTTTAAGTTTCTCTTTTGCTTAATTCCGGCCGGTTTTTCTGACCATGGTGTTTTTAGGGAATTCAAAAGCCTGCATGGTTGGAAGCTCTTTACACAGAGAAGTTCTTCGCGGGGTGCTCTTATCATGAAACTGCAAAGAAGAATGAAAAGAACGTATGTTGTTTGGATTGTTGCGTTAGTATTTGCCCTCATTGTATACCATCTCATCGCTTCCATAGGCTCCTTCAAGTTCGTCGTTATGTTTATCATGATGTTGTCCGATTGGAAGACCTCGAAAAGCTGATAGATTGCTCAAATGTTCAGGTTAGTAGTCTAAACAATCTTAATTTTATTTCGTGATATGTTTCTCTAGCAAAATTCAGTATGCATAGTTTGATAATTAATTTATTAGCTTTGATTATATAGGCCTATACTATAAATAGTGCTAAAGTGGTGTTCATCAAGAAGAGACCTCAGAACAGGCAATTCAAAGGGGCCGGAAACTATTGTACTTCCTGTGATAGAAGCCTTCAAGAACCTTTTATACATTGCTCTCTTGGCTGCAAGGTACTTACTGCTCAATTTCATGCTATGAATTCCAATTAGGGTTTTCCATCATTGGTGAATTTTATATATGTGTAAGAACAAGCGATCACATGCAATTGACGACCCTTTTAGTTGAAGAACTTATCGTAATAAAGTTGCATTCAATTATGATCAAATTTCCATAGATCAACTTCAAAATGAGGAAGAAAGTGATGCATACACTAATCACAAGTGAATTTCACTTAAATGACACATAATTAAGGAGATCAAGAATTGTCTATGTGTTTGATCAATAAGCCGAATTCCTAAGAGGGATGTCTTAATTATGATCATTCATCCTTAATAACCTATGATCATATGTAACAAAAAGGTTTCGTTGTATGTTTATTATAGGTGGACTTTGTGATGAAACATTGCAAGGACCTTGCTCCATACTTGAGGAGATGCAACACATTAACTCTTGGTCCTGACTTCTTTATCCCTCAAGATATAGCAGATGATGAGATGACCAATGAGACACCTCATTCGACAATTGTGGACTCCGATGAGCCAATGAGCTGGTCTTCGAGTTCATCGGGGTCCGAGAACATGAGCATGGCCAGCACTGATATTGTACGGAAGAAGAGAAGTGGATTATACGTATGTGCTAGATCAATGAATAAGGTTTCTGATGAGGACATGGCTTCAAGCATGAGTAGAAGAAAAGGCATTCCTCATCGATCTCCTTTATGTTAGGAAAACAAATTAAAACCAAAAATTTTATTTATTACTACAATTTTATTAGTTTTACTTGGATATTTTGACTGAATCCTTCAAATTCAAATTGCTCTCTCTCTCTGTCTCTCTCTCTCTCTCACTGTCTCATCATCTCTCTTCACTCTTCCACTTAAGTTAATTAATCACTTGGTCGGAGGGTTTTGTCTTAATGGCATCACGTGATTCCCAATTCCAAGTTATTGTTTTGTACATTTTTCTATTTTTCTATGCTTATATTAATAACTCAAGTCATCAATTCGAGGACCTTATTGTTCCAAACTTGTACACCTCTAGGAACTATATAGTACATTTACACATTTGTTAATTTAGTTTTGCATTGGTACACGACATTTGCTTTTACTAGGTAAAGGGGTAAAGGAGCCATGCATGAATTTTGCAAGCCAAAGTACTCCAATTCCAACAAGACAAATTGGTTTCTTAATTTGACCGCAAAAGGAGAAGGGTTTGAACAGAGCAAATTAACATGATCGCCTTATGGTTGTTGCCAATTGATGAGAATTTTACCCATTTCGCATTCCACTATATCATCATGCCATCAATCTTTTCCTTTTTTTTTTTTTTTTGGTACCCTTAATAGTTAGAGTATCTTGGTATCAATTATTTACATTCAAAACTAATTATGATAAAAGTAGCCTTTTTTATAAAGCTTAGGAATATGAATATATATGGTAACTTAGTCTTAAAGTCATTCTCTTGGCATTTAAAATGGAACATAAATCCCAAATACGATTTATTGGCATTACAAACCCTATGATTTTTTGCACCACCTCATGATGAAAAATGGCTTCCTTTCACTATTATATATACACTGATTTGTCTCTCCTCGAAGAAAGGGAGAGAAGAGTTTGAGATTTAACCACTATTTTTGACTGGTCAAATCCTACCACCCTTCATAATTTTAAATTAAATAATTAAATGAATATTATATAAAATTAAGAAGCTACTATAGGTGTAATATTTTGTATACTTTTATGGGAGATAAAAATTAATCAGTGACAATTGTAGTTACATGCATGTAGCAGCTCAATCAGAACATGATGTTACAGCAATTTTTTTCCTTTTAGGAGCAAATGATGTGATAGGGTTGTTTTTAAGAATGAAAATATAGTAAGTTATATAGAAAGCACTCTATAACCTCTCTCTGTGTGTGTATATATATAGGAAGTAGATTTTACATCATCCGAAACTAAGTCTATCATTTTTTAGGTTAAATCAGTATCAAAACACGTTTTGCTTTTGGTCGACTACTCGAACTCTTTCTTATACTAAATAAACTCAATTATAGTACCACTAATAAATAATTATGGCTGGTTGTGAGAATTGAATCTTAATTTTGATCAAATCAAAACAACTTTCTTACCACTAAACTACATATCTTGATGGTGAAAATATAACAAGTTATTTAAAAATTGAGAGGAGAGAGAGAGATGGTTTACATCCATATGCATGGCTGGAATATTAATTGAGGGGCAAGAGAAGCCATTTTAATGGCAAGGTAATCCCTTAAACCAATTTTGTATATCGAGATTTAGTTTTTTTTTATTATTATTATTATTAGGTCATGACCAATAGATTTAGTTTTTTATTATTATTATTATTATTAGGTCATGACCAAACCATCTATGTCTTAGGCAGTGAGTGCATTAACAAAACAATATGTACTTTTATAGGGGTGTAAAATATATATTTCATATGAAATCAACTTTAATTTAAAGGATGTAATAAAAAAAATTCAAAACTTTAGGACTAAAGTACAAAATTTCTATAAATTTTGTGTCATCGGCTCTCTCGTCACTCAACATAATTGTACATTACATATGCAACACTTGTTTTCAAAGTTATGAAATTTTAGTATAGGAAACTTTAATTTTTATCATATTTCTAAAATCAAATCACTCTCCTGCCCAATTACATCCTTGACTCTAACCTATTGTATAGCAAATTTTTTAATAGGATAATTCCCATTAGTTAAAGTTATTCACTTGTTATTGTTAGATAATTGATATAAAATTATTTTTGAATTTCATTTACTAATTTAAATGTCTAAATTGAGATGATTTTATATATATGTTGTTAGCACCAAAAATTTTTCCCAAAAAAATACAAAAAAAAAGAGATTAAAAAATATAATCGAGGGATGCGATTGAAAAATGAGAAAGAAAAGGGTCAAAATAAAACGAGTTAGTGAGATAAGGGACCAAATCAAACTTTAGCCAAAAACCCTAAAAACCAATATAAAAGCCACTTTTTCTCAAAAAAAATAGGCGAGTCATCGTTCATCTCTTTGAAAGAAAAAAAAACCTAGCCGCCAACCTCTCACTCGCCCTTTCTCACTCCAGCCAGACCCCTAACACCAGCCCTTCCCTTTTGCCTCGCCCCACGTAGCAGACGAACCCCTACACCACCAAGCACGCCCTCGGCCTCTACACACCAACACGCCCTCTCGCCCTCATCCCTCACACCACTAGTGTAAACCCTCAACCTAGGACCTAATAGATCGAGAATATTATTGTCGACAACTTACGTTCGAAATGCAATGAACATAAGTTACCAAGGCACTCGTGACTTATCTATAGATCTATATGATACACCTACGTTGTGAAAGTTTACTACTTGCGGTTAGGTCCTATGTGTAGTCCCAAATGTCTTATAAAAATTTTTGCATTTCACAATCCTATTTATGTTCTATAAATCGAACTATCCAAATTTGTGATATTCTTTTTTTTTATTAAATTAATTACTTCATTTAGTTATACTAATTTATGTGTTGATAATTAATTTAAACCATTACTACACTAGCAGTTCATCAATGGTACTTTACTTACAAACACATAAATATTTATATTAAAAACTAGGTTATCAGTTCATTGCCACCTACTATAAAAATGACTTATTTCCTATTTACATCCGGTTTCCTATCCCATTTTATCTACTCGTATCATAGCTTTAAGGAGCGCATAACGTAACACGATCATGGCTATAAAGTAAAATACCCAAGTACAACAAGAACTACTTGTCGCTACCCGACGCTCGGACGGGACTCCTCGAAAATATCTAAAATTAGATCGAATATTTACAAGTTTATTTATAGAGTTTGGAGTCGTCACCTAGTATCGGAGGAACTAGGAACCTAAAACGGACACTTGTTCAAAGATTCTATGGTAAGGAGTTGGTTATGCTTTTGGAAAGATATCGATCACCCAAAAGCGCCCTTTCCAAAGAAAGGTACCACGTCCGGTTTAGCTCTAAATTTATCTCCTAAAATATTTTATTTACGTCAAATTATTTTTTGATTTTTTAAAACTCCCATTTTTTAAACAAATTGAATTTTTTAGTTTTAAGCGTGGCATCATATTGAAAAGATCGTTCGGTCCCCGTGTCGGGTGACACATTGATTCAAACATCGGATCCACTAAAAGCCTTGACACAACGGGTATGTCGGAGGACGACTTGATTAAACAGGTGATTTTTTTTGTGACGTCGACCTCTATCAAATAGGAGGCTTCGTCAAAAATTTTAAATTTGGTGACGTTGGTTCCTATTAGATAGGAGATTTTGTTGAATTTATTTATTTATTTTTGATGACGTCGGTCCCTACCATGTAGGAGACTTCGCCAAAATTTTTAGGCATTTTTTGGTTGTGACGTCGGTCCCTATCGGATAGGAGACTTCGTCGAGATTTTTTTTTTTTTTTTAGCAATACATGTAAAGAAAAAAATTAAAATAACGAATCTAAATTAATACCTAAAAATGACAAGAAATAAAAATAAACGAGGCTAAAAAAATAAAAAAATTAAATGAATAATAAAAGATTAAAAAAAAATCATCCTATATAAACAGATAAAAAAAATGAATAATAAAAGTAATTAAAAAAATCATCATATACCTAAAATATTAACCCACAACTTTTACTCTTTTTTTTTTTAGGAAGAAAAGGTGCGGGTCGGGCCCTTTCTTCTTTTTTTTGGAAGAAAGGGTGCGGCCCTTTTCTTTTTCTTGGCCTACCTCGAGTTAGGTCAGGTCGAAAGGAAGTCCAGCCCTTGTTCCTTCTTCCCTTTTTTTTTTTTTTTGCATGATTTCGATCCAGCCCTCCCCCTTTTTATTTCTCCTTGGATAGGGTCCAAAGCCTAGAAACAAATCCAACCGAAACAACACAAAAACTTTCGATCAAAACGCTAATTTTAAGACATTCATCCTCTCTCTCTCTCTCTCTCTCTCTCTCGTTCTTCATTTTTTGCCTAATACCTTAATTTTGCCGTAAGATTACCTTCGATTAACTAAATCGATCGAGCAGATCAACACATTTAATCATGAACCAAAAAGAAAAATATGCAAAAAAATGAACGAATAAAATCAAAGTAAGGAGAATCGGACCCCAAACCGACTTGGATTTATTAAAGAACAACCCGTAAAAACTCAAAACGCGTAACCCCAAAGTTGCCGATTTCTCACAATTTTGAACCTTTCGTCGTTGATTCCTCGATCACTAAACCCCAAACCTATGATATTTTCCCCCCAACACAAGTCTCAAATACCCTTCAATCGACCTAGGGAATGATGAATCGAAACCCAAGCAATGAAGAACAAACCCGGAAAATAAGAATGTCGGTAATGCTACCCGTAAACGTGAAGGGTCAAAAATGCAGGAATTGAACTCGAAATTCGAAAAAATGAGTGAAGAAAGAAGTGAGGATGGATATTTAGCACCTATAAACACAAAATCAAACACCAAAAAAGACCGATAGCTTATGAACTAAAACCCGAGCACTCAAGAACACTAACAACATGAAGAACACCAAACCCGAAACCCGTAAACCCGTAAAAACTCAATGAACAAAAATTAAAATTAAACTTTTTACTTTTGATTTTCAAACTCTCTCAACCCGAATCCTTCCTCTATTCTCTTCCTTTTTTCTTGAAATTCGACTCATTTTATAGCCAAAAAATTCCTAAAATCG